TGACCTCCAATAACCACACGTTTGAATTACGTGTGACTTTGGGCAATGACCTCCAGAGTTCATGCACTGATATTTAAATTCGGGCCACCCAGCTTGACGCAAATCAATATAGTTACTTGTCAATTGTTCAAAAAATCTTTCAACTCTCACAAATACCATGAACACGAAGAGTTAACTGGGGGTTAAATGAAAGGGAATGTCTTTCTTGGACAAAAACATGTCAGTACAAAATTATGTGTGCAAGGTTAGATTTATAGAACGTACATCCGCTTAACTCTGTGTTTTTTACCGAATCCGATATACTAGTAATGAAAATGTGACACCAATCCCCGACCAATCAAAAACGTCAATTTACGCACCATGGGACAGTTCACTTAAATGACTCGTAGAATAAAATCACTTTCTAAAATGGCGGACACATGGTCGATGCAACCCTGTGGACCAGCGACTGACAGGCTGTGATGACGGAGATCATCTGCGACTGCGGCTACACCAAGTACTGATAACATAAAAACTCAAAAAAATGTATATTTTTAATGTCTTCATGCAGTTATCCACTTTATTCTGACCCATTTAAAAATTAGCGCTCGAAAATAAAATGGGTGCGCGAATTAATAGGAACTGCGAATTAATCGAGTTTTTACGGTAACTAAAATGTTATAGAGGACATCACTAAATTCTATGCCCTCATGGAGGACATCACTAAATTTAATGCTATGTTATGGAGGGTGTCACTAAATTCTATGCTATGTTATGGAGGACATCACTAAATTTAATGCTATGTTATGGAGGGTGTCACTAAATTCTATGCTATGTTATGGAGGACATCACTAAATTCTATGCTATGTTATGGAGGACATCACTAAATTCTATGCTATGTTATGGAGGACATCACTAAATTCTATGCTATGTTATGGAGGACATCACTAAATTCTATGCTATGTTATGGAGGACATCACTAAATTCTATGCTATGTTATGGAGGACATCACTAAATTCTATGCTATGTTATGGAGGACATCACTAAATTCTATGCTATGTTATGGAGGACATCACTAAATTCTATGCTATGTTATGGAGGACATCACTAAATTCTATGCTATGTTATGGAGGACATCACTAAATTCTATGCTATGTTATGGAGGATCACTAAATTCTATGCTATGTTATGGAGGACATCACTAAATTCTATGCTATGTTATGGAGGACATCACTAAATTCTATGCTATGTTATGGAGGACATCACTAAATTCTATGCTATGTTATGGAGGACATCACTAAATTCTATGCTATGTTATGGAGGACATCACTAAATGTCTTTATATACCTCATTTCCTCAGGGACCAAGTGTGGAGACAGAGTTTTCTGCATCAAATTGGGAAATATCTATTTGTGTTGAGAGATCACATGATATCACTGGTAATTCAGTCTATTCAGAATGATAAGGTAATGATTGTGTATACTCCTACTGCAGTCAATAATAATGGAAACATTTCTTTGGATTATTTAAGTTGACAAATATCTATTGCTGAGATTGGTGGGAAAAAACCACCATTTATTGTTGCTTTATTATGTCATTTAGTATCATGGATTAAAACTGCCAGATGAACTAGAGGATATGCAGTTCACATCGTCACAGGATTTTACTAGACTTGGTCCAGCACCAACAACCTTCTTAGCACAATCAGAACACTCAGCATTCAGCAGTGTACCATCTTCAGGCAACCATACACCACGCTCACCACAGTGTATAACAAAAAGGGTATGTTCACTTGTAATTCACTGTTTGACATTTTTCAGCTTATTTAAATTTAGTTTCGATATTCAATTCAAAATGAATGTCATTTAACCTTGATGTTTATATAATTAATTTGAAAAGTTTTTTTTTTTTTTAGAATTCCATTTCTGAGCCATATAGTTGATTCTGTTAATGCCTTGTCGATATAGTATCGCATATGATAGATGTGTACATAAACGCTATCTGATAATCTTACAATTAAAATTGACTTTTATCATTACAGCTAACACCAATCCATGTCAAATCCCCACTAGATGATAAACCTGATATACAGTCTGTGTTGTCATCAAAGGAAGGGAGGGAGTCCCCAAATCATATGTCCACAATTACTGCCAATCAACAGCAAGATGGAAACCAGGTAACACCAGGTAGTGCTGCTGCTGGAGGTGGTAATTTCAACATAGATGATGAATTCAAGGTCACATCAGTAAGAACTATAAAACAAAATGAAATTGATGGTAATACAACATCTGCATCTGAAGATGAGATTTTGTCATTTGCAATTAAAGAGATTTCTCACAGTACAGACGTTAAGCAATTAGTAGCTAGAAGTTATGAGATAGAAAGCCAATTAGCTCAAGTCGGTGCAAGGGCGCAGTCAGCTCCACAAGAAACCATGCACCAGTTTCCACTCAGCGATGAGAGCCCAAGTTGTGGCTATAATTCAGCAGCTTCCATGCTGAGCGATGATGATGTCACAGCATTTGGGGTCAGTGGGTCACTGGTTACTGTGACAGAACATAACAACCCATCAGCAATTGAGGCTAGTGCAATAAAAGATGAAATTGATGAAGCTCTTTGTAAAGAGGATATTACCAGTGATCAGAATGTGATCACCGACCTAACTGAATGTCACAAGACATCCACGCATGAACTTTCTGCTCAAGTTAATGAACCCTTAGATACAGAATCTGCTCTGCTACAGGACACACAGACAAACACAATTCTATGCAAGGTATCCACGTTATACCGACTGCTGCTTTGCCTGACAGTCAAACTTCCACCTCTCGAGACTCCTTCAGAACTATTCACTCCTCCATACCAAGCTCTGTCTCAGTTGTTAGAGAAGATGCCCCACTTGGGGATTTACTCCAAACAGACAGTCAGACCTCGCTGACCTCGTGTGCTGAGACCGCTGAAGAGAAGGAGAAACTTGAAAAGTTTCTGCCAGTGTCTAGTTCTGTGATTGATGTGATATGTGTTGTGAAACGTCTCTCTGTGTTCGTCACCACCATGTATGAAATGCTGCAGCCTAAACACGATTGTTGTAGTTCCTGTGTACTCAACGAGGATTATACTCTCGAGCATATGGTTGCCATGGGAGATGTAAGGAAACAGGCACAGAAAATTGGAAGTACTTTATTCAGTAAAATGTTACAGGTTTGTATTGACACTTGTCACTCATTAAGAAAAATGTTATCACCTTTTTTGGTCCCTGTTTTGGACACTTGATTTCTCCATGTTTTTGTACCTGTATCTTGGACACACCAGGGCGATCACATTCAAACTTCACACATTATAGATCCATTCGCTTTATAAGTTGATACGAGATAGCTGAATATTTGTACCTTAAATTCATCAAATTCAAACATTTTTGCCATCCTGGAACTAGATCTTAGTTGTGTGTGGATGGATCACCTATACATGTATCTATGTTTTCAGATGATGTATAAGTTATAGTATCATGCTTTAATGAATGACCTCTAAAGAATGTCTGAATTACAGATCATGTTTTAACTCATTTCTCATGGAAGTGACTGACATATTCTTTACGTCTGATCACCAGGTGTTTTCGAGTACTCTTTGTAACTATGCAGATAACACATTATGCCTTGATTTATGTGCAACGTCTAGAAAAACCGCTTTGAAGATGTTAGGAAGACAGGTCAGTATTTTTTGTTAGAATCAAATCCATATATATATACATATATCAAACAGTGGAAAACAACAGTTGGAGCCATCACATGTTAGCTCATCCAAGTGTGTATTTT